TGGATTCCTAAGAATCAAGGTCGTCTACAGCTATGTAATGGCTTTATGAAATTACCCAAGCAAATAATAATATTTTTTCCAAATCAAAAATAAAGAAGTAAAACGATATATGTGTTACTAAATGCTAATAGAGTGTAAGGGATAATCAAAGGAATGATAAAGGAATGATAAAGGAAGTGTAAAAAGGGTAAGGGTAATTAAAAGGGATAAAGGTAATTATTAACTTTGCATTTGTCTTTATTCATTTTTGTAGAATCTTGGTGGTGCGGCGCGGTTTATATTTTGTAGGTACATGTATGCTAGTGGAATTATATGGCGTTGAAGTGTATGCTAACCATGTCTTGTTTTTGTAGGTCTTGATGCGGCTTCGTTGGTTGGTTCGGCGGCGATAAGATTTTCTGTGGGCTCTCTTTCGTCGTCGTCTTCGTCGATTGGTGGTATCTTCATCGTCGAGGGGCGCGATCGTGATCATGATCGTGATCACGATTATGATGGCATTCTGGTGTTTAATCTTCGGGTACGTGTATCGCCATCACTTCACTGTCATTGTTGCTGTTAATCCTACATTAATAGATTGTTGAAGTGGATTTCCGTCGCTCACTGTATCCACGTCGTTTATTCCTACGTGCAATGGGTCTCGAGAGATGGCAGTGTCATTTGGCTGAATCGGTTTCGGTGTCGTTGCGTCGGCATCTTTGTGAAGCACTCCCATAGCGTGCATGATTAAAATACCGTTCATCTCTGTATAGAAACAATTAATCTTCGTCATCACTTTGATAAGGAGTAGGCTGCTATATCATCACTTCTTCGGGCGCGATTCGATCTAACATCTCATCAGGCCGACAATAATTCGTATCAACTCCTTTAAATCAGGATCAATTAGCGTTTCGGCATCGTCATATTCTTCGGGGAGGGGGAAGGAACGTGCGATCGGATCCAGGATAAATATTCAGGGTTTGTCGGAATCGGATGTTTTCTTGATGGTGTAGCCTCTTCCAACG